GGGCGGGCGGGCAGCGAGCACCAGCCCCCCCAGTGCCCTCGTGCCCGACCCCAGGGCTCCTGGCCCCCCGGCCGCTGCTCGGGAAGGACAGGGCGGGACCCCGGGCGGCCGGCTCCCAGCCCGTCTGCCCTCCCCGGGCTGGGGTGAGCACCCAGGCGGCGCTAACCTCCCCCCCACTGCGGGCACAGAGCTGGAGGTGACGGTGCGGGTGCTGCTCTACGGGCTGATCTTTGCGCTGAGCGTGCTGGGCAACGCGCTGGTGGTGGCGGTGCTGGCCCTGAACCGGCGCCTACGCACGGTCACCAACGCCTTCCTGCTCTCGCTGGCGCTGAGTGACCTGCTGTTGGCGCTGTGCTGCATGCCCTTCACCCTCGTCCCCAACCTCATGGGCACCTTCGTCTTCGGCGACGTCGTCTGCAAGCTCATGGCCTACCTCATGGGTGAGTGCCTGCCCTGCCGGGGGCACTGCTGGGGGAAGTCTGTGGCATGGGGTGGAGTGGGGGCACTGCCGCAGGAAGATCACAGCGGTGAGTGGGCTGGGGGAAGCTTGCAGGGTGGAGCGGAGGCACTGCTGGGGGAAGCTCACATCGTGGGGCAGGCCGGGGGCACGGCTGGGGAAGCCGGCAGCGGGGGCAGGTGCTGCTGGTGGCCCCGGCACTGACGGTTGCCCCGGCACAGGCGTGTCGGTGAGCGTCTCCACCTTCAGCCTGGTGGCCATTGCCCTGGAGCGCTACAGTGCCATCTGCAACCCGCTGCAGTCGCGGGCCTGGCAGACGCGCTCGCATGCCGCCCGTGTCATCGCCAGCACCTGGCTGCTCTCGGCCCTGCTCATGCTGCCCTACGCCGTGTACAGCACCACGGTGCCGCTGGCCCGGCCCCCGCGGCCCCCGCTCTACCAGTGCCTCCACTCCTGGCCCAGCCAACACTTCAAGCAGGCCTGGTGAGTGCTGTGCCATGCTGGGCTGTGGGGCAGGGGCGCAGTGGCCCTGCTGACCGGCTGCACTACTTTGCCCAGGTACCTGCTGCTGCTGATGATCCTGTTCTTCGTCCCCGGCGTGGTGATGGCCGTGGCCTATGGGCTCATCTCGCGCGAACTCTACCATGGCATCCGCTTCGAGATGGACATGAAGAGGGAGGCTGGCGGTGAGTGTGGGGCTGGGCTGGGCTGGGGGCTCCGACCAGACTGGGCTCTGCTCCCCTGCTCTGCGCTGCCAGGCCCAGGTCCTCCTGGGCACCCAGCGCCAACGACAGTGGCCGTGACCTGTCCACGCGGTGTTGCAGGTGGCCGGAGTGGCGGAGAGGCAGGCAGCGAGGAGGGCGATGGGTGCTACGTGCAGCTGATGCGGGCGGGCGGCGCGCTGGAGCTGGGTGCGCTGAGCGGCGCGGGGCCGGAGCGGGCGCGCAGCAGCCGGTCGGAGGCGCAGCTGGGGGCCAAGCGGCGTGTGATCCGGATGCTGGTGGTGATCGTGGCGCTCTTCTTCCTGTGCTGGCTGCCCGTCTTCACCGCCAACACAGGGCGCGCCTTTGCCCCGACCGCCGCGCAGCGTGCCCTGGCCGGCACCCCCATCTCCTTCATCCACCTGCTGTCCTACGCCTCGGCCTGCACCAACCCACTCGTCTACTGCTTCATGAACCGCCGCTTCCGCCAGGCCTTCCTGGCCACCTGCACCGGCACCTGTCCCTCCTCCCGCCGCGCCCGCCGGCCCCCTGCCGATGATGATGCCACCGCAACCGCCCCCGCCCTCTCCAAGGGCAGCTACACCACGGTCAGCAGCATCGGGCCCCTCTGAGCTCACCCCCCCGCCACTGCAGGATGCCCCGGGTCCAGTCCAAAGAGCGTTGTCCCCCCACCTGGGCCTGGCCTGGGGCCGGTGCCTTCTGCGCTGGCATGGGGGTGGGGGGGCCGGGCCACGCTGGCTGAAGGGTTGGGGGCCCGGGGCCAGCCCCCCCCAGCCTGAGCTCCCAGGGCCGGCCCTGCCCAGTTGGTGCCCTGGCATCTTGCATTAATCTGGCCCCCCTCCCTGCCGCGCCACCTCGTGATGTGTCGTCCGCGCGCCTATGCCGTCAGCAGAGCCCCCCACTCAATAAAGCCTGGGACTTGGCTCTTGTGCCCCGTGTCTTCTTCCCCCCCCCCCCTCCCAGCTGGGCATGTTTCTCCCCCACCCCAGGGCCAGGTGCAGCATGTGACCCCCACCCCCACATGGCGCCAAGCCCAGCATGTCCCACTAACGGTTTTGTGCTCTCAGCCCCACTGACTGCCCCACGGCCCACCCTCAGCACGCGGGAAGCGTGGGCTGCAGGTCGGGAGTGGGAGTGGGGGGTCCGTGGTGCAGCTGTCCCTGCCCCACACCCCCCTCCCTGCTGCACACCAGCTGTGGCCGCGCGCCGCGGTTCCCCAGGGAACTCGAGCTGCTGCGGCTCCAGCCCCCATCCGCCTGCTTTAATCCAATCTGCCGGCGGCAGCTGCAGGAAGTGGCCCGGGTCAGGCAGGGAGGGACTCAGGCGTCCGGCTCTCACCACTCTGGCCCTAGCCAGCTGGCACCCCCCCCACCCGCCGAGCCAGGCCCTTCGCGGGCCTCCCCGAGGGCCCCAGGCCCCCAGCCCCGCCGTGACGCCAGCTTGGCCCTGGCCCTCGGGGATGGGAAGCGGGGGCTGCAGGCAGGAACTGCGCTGACCCGGGCGCAGGGCACGGCGCCAGCCCCAGACAGCCTCACGTCCGGCCTGGTGGCACGTGGCACGGAGGCTGGCGCCAGCAGGGCCAGAGGGGGAGCTGGGCTAGGCAGTGACCACCCCTGCCGGGGCAGGAGGCCGGGCCCCGTCCGTAGCAGCCGTTCTGGCGCCCCAGGCAGAGGACTGCGCCGTCCGGCCCCGGTGCAGCCGGTCACTAGGGCGGCTCAGTTTCACCGGGACAGACACGTTCCCTCCGTGTCCTCGTGACCCTTCACCAGACGCAGGCACAGGCCGCGTGCCCCAGACCGGCAGTACCGTGCTCTGCCCACCCGTGTCCCCAGAGCCCCTCGCCCAGGGCAGTCCTGCGCAACACGTGTCCCGCTGCGATGCCTGTCCCGCGGCGCTGCCTCAGCGGGACCCGGGTTCGCCTGCGCGGCTGCCCTGGGGGGGATCAGGGTGGCTCTGGGGCAGTTTGTTCCTGGCTGGGATCGGATTTGGAGCAAACTTCGGGGAAGGCGGACACCGCTACCGCCGCGGGGACCAGGGAGACCACAGCCCCCACAATGCACCACGGCCCTACCGAAGACTACAGCTCCCACAACGCGCCGCTCCCATGCACTACAACTCCCAGAGTGCCCTGCGCCGGCCCGGGAGTTCCCTTTTCCAGGCGCCGCCCCACGCCCCATCGCCCCGGATCGGGGCCGCGGCCGGGCAGTGGAGCCATGGCGGGGCCGGGTCGGGCGGCGCTGGCGCTGGCGCTGGCGCTGGCTCTGGCTCTGGCGCTGGGATCCGGATCGGGATCGGGCCCCGGGTCGGGGTCGGGATCGGG